GCGGATGCAGTTTTCCTTCAAAGCTTTCCTTAAGGCAGCAAGTTTGGGTAAAAGAAATGGCAGGTTAAAAAACCGCCTGATTAACAGTTACTAAACGGTTGTCGGCTGCGGTAACTGGAATCACGGATGACATCTACAACTGCTAACGGACGTATTCTTCAATGCGTACATAAGCCGTCAATGTGTCGTCTTTGGGCGCACAACGGTTGTAGAAAAATAGTATGGGCAAAACATGAGGACAAGTGACTCAAGTAGGTCAAGTCCAAGAAGGTCGAGGTTAGAATTGGGAGCGTAACCGACTGTCTATATAGCGTTTATGCGGAAAAACTGTGCATGGTGACAGTAAAGTTAACTTTGCCAAAGCAGCACAAGCGCTGGTGAGTGTTTGGTTGCATGTATGGTTCATATGGTTACCAATAGAGCGCCAGTGTCTCCTCGAGCTGAGCGTCGTGTCAGAGGCTATGTCGAAACCTAGGTGACCTAAACGTCTATTGATATGAATCAAAATAAATTTAATGTTTTGAGCGGTATTGAGTTGGAACTTGGCAAACAGACAAGATGCTCTTCTAATCGTCTACGAAATTTGTTGTTTATAAGACTTTAAATTTAAAGTTGACTTGTTCCTATTAGATAGTAGTGATTAAAATACCCTCCTTATCTACTACTATGAAACCTCTTTGGTAACAGTGAAGTCTAAACGAGTAGAACAAGTGGTATTGCCAAGAACCACAGAAGCGATGGGCGTATCGAAGCATGCTTGACTAGCATGGCTGACAGTGGATGGCTGCGCTGATGACGTTGTTTAGATTAGATAGCAACAACCATGGGCACAGAAGGAGATGTCTTGTCAGTTTGCTAAAGCATGCTCGCATCGTGCTTCAGGTCGTGGAGCTATGCAATCTTGCGCCAATTGTGTCAGCGTGACGTCGCGTGTCGGCCCGATATTATCCAGTGACATGGTTCATAGAGCTGCAGCGCCTAGCAAATATAGACTGCAGACAAATAGCAACCATCAGAATTGGCCCTCGGTAAGTGATCCAGGCTTGATAAGGCTGCACAAACGATTGACGAGGCCAGCGTAGACGACAAAGTCATCGGGGTCTCGCTTGACTATTTGGAGGTACTGAAAGCGTGTGTTAAACATAGGCAAGGTGCCGCCGAAAATCAACACCAACGTCCGCACGGCGTCATTGAAGCTGCGTGACCTCAATTTGGCAGGCGTATGATGTTGGTTCTGTTAAGCTAAATGTTTGTAGGAGTAGACGTAACGTTAGGAGGCACCGGAGTCCTGACAATGGAACGGAAACCTATTTTTCTGCGCCTACACTATAAATAAAAGTTATGGCGGAAATGCTATTGCACCGTCTTTTGCCCACAGTCAGAAGTGCCTCCTTAGCCGCGAGAATGCAAATGCAGTTCAGCATCAACCCACTGTTGAGACTAAACTCCAAGGATAAGCTGTCTGTCTACCCCAGATCAATTTTTATTTACTAATTTGCCCGTTCTTGCGGAGTAGGGTAGATTAGTCGTAGGATAAGGCGCCAATCCGAAAGGATGAAGGAACACCATCCACTATGTCTGGTAAATAAGATTAGTAAATTAACAGCTATGACATCACGGCAAAGTAAGCAAACATGTGTTACGCCAACAAGTCGATTGGTTTGTACAAACTAATTTATTAAGCCCAGAAAATCGAGCAAATTACCTCCGTGAGTGAATACTAGACGCTGCAGCGGCCCTCGCAATTCAGCTGTTTGAACCAAAGACGTGCACGAAGTAAAAGTTTATTAAAGCGTTGGGTCTACTCTCGTCTGGAAGGAACGCACTTGCCACGTGCAAGCGTTTGGAGACTACAGCAGGGACTTGATCAATGGTGACTGTCAATGTGTGATAAAATCTAATGGATGATTGACGGTCCATTTGCGTCTGTCTAAAAAGCTTGATTTTATTGTACTTGCATAAACCCGATGGTAAATTAACAAAGACACGTTAACTTACTAAGAATATTACCCAATCAGTGGGATTTGTTCACATAACGTCAGCTTAAGGAAGAGGTAATTGGTGGAATGTCTATTACAGCGGTTCAGCAGAGCAATCAATATCCTAAGTGGTCGACAATGAAATTATTAATAGGAAGCAACGCTAGAACGCAGTTTTGCTTATGTTAAATGCTTTGAAAGCAACTTACGTGTGGGAAACTAAGGTTACGACAAAACAGTACAATAATTTGGGTGACACAAAGCGGCACTTGTAGGAAAACATGCTTCAAGCATATCGTCTGTACCCAAGGTTGTTTCAGTAGCAGGTTTTCATAATTTCCTTGCAACCCCATAGTGAATGACAGTTAGGTTATGATATGCAGAAACGTAATTTTTCATAAGGCCACGATTTTTGACGCTGAATAGTTTACCCCCGGAAGAAATTATATATTGAGATGGGTAAACAAACCAAAGACAACGTTGGGTGCTTATAACTTAATTTATAAAACTTTGATCTGTTTGTTAGATTGGTAAAAACACCGAAAAGAGGTGTAGCTTTAACTTATTTTATAAGCTTGGTCTACTTATTTAGGCGAGTTGCAAATTTCTTGCGCAATCCTGGGCAAATAAGAGGTGCTTCTAACATAGAACAAAACCTTTTCCTTGGAATATGAAAGTATCGTTTGTGGCAGGTTGCGTTTCAGTTCTAATGTATTTGGTTATATATCTGTTCTCAAGAGGCTATTTAGCCTACAGTAACTCAGGTCATGCCCATGGTGTCAGATGCTGCTATTTTATCCCATAATTGCAGATGAACGATGAAGCCGTTGGGAATTATTCCGATAGTATGGTTAGTGTGTACGCAAGGTACACATTTACTTACAGAAGATGTTGCTAACTCGCGCAATCCCTTTTCTTTCAACATTCACAACACGAAAAGGAGCCAGTTAAAATGAGCACGAAGTTCGTAACTTCAAACCATTCGTGCAGTATTAATGTATGGTTGCGGAACATAGCAACTACAATCCCAAGACACCCGGAAGCCAGAATGCTTTGAACAATAGTACCTAACAGCTTGAAAACGTAGTGGGATAAGTTCATCACCAATGACGAAGTCCTGAAGCTCTGTTATAGGCATCCGCAGCTCTCGGTGCTTCTCCAACACCGCAGACGTGCGTGGTTTGGTCACGTCCTCCGCAAAGCAGACGCTGACTTTACTTGGGTCGTGGTTACGCTCTCGTCTTGCCAGGGTTAGTCTCGTTGCCGTGGTGGAAAAGTGCAAACGTGGCGTCCTGCAGTAAACTTAGATGTCGATCTTTCTGGAATCCAGGTTGTGCATGGTCTTCGTCAAGGGTAAATTCAGTGAATCACTATCTGCGTAGGGCTTGCCCTTGATCGCTGCGATTATGTAGCTGCAGTCCGCGGCATTCAGGAAACCGGCTCATTTTGTCGCAGGTGCCATTCGCAGGAAAGTAATTAAAGCAAGCAGGAATCAGCACGGCTTGATGCGTTTTTAATTGTAGCACAAGCCACAGTTGATAATTCTGTAAAACATGACCCGGTAATTTTGAAGAAATTACCGTCTCAGAACGGAGACTGTGTTATGAGATTTTCTCAAACCTGGTGGGGCAATTACCACATAACTCCTTCTAGAACACAGTTGCATAACACCGCGCATACTATGCAATTTTTTTCTCATGAGTACATACTGTTGATTTAATTAAAGACAACTCCGTAAGACTTATTTTCGCGTTTACGTAAACAACTGGTAGTCTTTTAACAGTAAGAGTGGTTTAATGGCACGGTTGGTAAAATAGAAAAGCTCCTTGATAATCATGTAATGTATCACGGTGAAGCTTGATCCCAGGATTCTGGCAGTACACAAAATTAGAAAAGCAAGCACAGCTAATGTATACACGGTACAAGCTTGCCAATGATGATCAACTGTAGAATGGAATATACTGTGTGTGCAATGTGTAAACTTGTTAGGTACGAGCGCTGTACCTGAAACGTTACTGTTTTATTTTTAAACAATGCCTTTGTGTTAAGAACCTTAGCAACGGTTATACCAATTAGAACAACTTTGACCGTGTCAATTAGTAATAGCTCGATCACAACTATTTGGACATACTAGGCTCATTTTTGATCTCTGACTGTTAGTCCAATGTAGCACGACGAGGGTGAATTTGAGGTTACATCATATTGTTTAGATCTTTTAAAGTGAGAAGAAAAATGGAGTAGTGTTGCTCTCTCTAAAACAAATTTCGGGGCGTCACTTACCTTGCTGAAATTTTCAGAAAAGATGTAAGATACTTATATACTAAGAACACAAAAGTGATATGCTTTTTATTTTCCGGTTCTGTCAACGTATGAAAAACATGTGCAAGTATAGGGTAAGTGATAATCTGGCTACAAGGAAATCTTGAACTGTGACTCACTTTCTGGTAGACTTGTTTCTGCATAATATAATAACGTAGATATTAAACATATACTATATACCTTCCTGCAAGAAGAACCACAGGAACACTTGCTATAGCCAACTGACATGTTACTAAAAGGTGCAACATAGGCCCTACGCAAGTTTGCTAACCCAAAGCATATAAGAACACTTACATTTGCGTGATCCTATATACATTGTTTTCCATTTTGTTTTGCAGAAGGTAACAAAATCCTAGGAACAAGCCTTGCGTGAAGTCATTTTATTTTACTTGGCGGTTGATGCGACATAGTTAGTTAGCTCAGTAATAGTGCCCATGCTTTAAAGGCAACCACAAATAATGATACTTGGTTCTACATGAACTGAAAAGGCGGGACATACCAACATTTTGGTTTAGACCTTTAACGTTTGTTTAAAGCGTAGACGATACACCTTTCTGCTTGGGCACGTTGTCAGAAAGTACCAATAGTAGATACGCATTAGTTAAAGAATGTATACAAACACTTGTTACATACATGTTAAAGCTAACGTTTTGGACCGGTAACTATAAGTAAAGCAGCTACGCGCTCAAATACACAACTCACTTAGAAGTAGATCTGAAATTTATAACAAAATTAGAACATGTAACTTATCTCTACAAGCAGAATCAACAATAAAGAGGAACTAGTTTGTGAGTGCTTTTACCGCTAGTACATTTAACCAAAGCGTGTCAATGTATGCAACACGTCCAATTTATAGACCAGCACCAGCAAAACTTTAAATGCTTCATTGAATTTGTCTAAGGATTTAGGAATGTAAAAATTAGGCAATGGTACCTTTACGAATATAAGGTTGCACATGAGCTTATTGCGTTAGGTAAAAAGACATAAGGAATTAAATCCATTAATAAACAACAATAAGCCACTCGTTATTAATGTGCGGTACCTTGTTAAGATAAAAGCATTGGTAGTTCACATACAAGTGCTTTACTTACTTTTACCAAACACTGAAGGCTTCAATTCTGCATTTTAGAAACTTATTCACCTTCGCAAAATGCGAATGAAAACAAAACCAAACATTTGCCACCAGTAAGTATAACCGCTGTAAAACATACATAGTACAACAGCCATTTATGGTGATACTTTGCTTTCATTCAACTACAAACCAGTAGGAAATAAGGGGTACTAAAAAAAGAAAGCGCGGACTTAGGAAAGAACCTAAATGATCCTAACAACAGTCAGAGTAAATGCGCCTGCATTTTACAAAACCACGCGGTCACAGATAGCTGGCTGCCGTAAAATGGTAAGGCAGAATTGACAAGCCAGCTTACTTGTAGGTTGTATTGCTCGTTTTATGACCAGCCAGAAAAATTGCAGACAAAAGTCTGACTGGGAGATGCTAAGCAAAAACTACTGGTAAAAACTGAAGTTATGTCTTGTAACCCTTTGAAACAAGTAAAAGGTGAGTTGCCTTGATACCGGTCTGGAAGGCAAGGCAAAGCAATAGCACTTAGTTCAATGGCCAGCGACTTTGATTCCCGTTGCTCAATCAAATGGTGTTCACTTTAAGTCAAGTGCCAGCCAACAGACGGTGCACAAGTAAGACTCTCAATACTGAGCGGTAAACAGGCAGTAGTCTCTGTGCTCCTTGTTTTACCAAAGTGCCAGTTACTCCGATGCACAGCTAATGGTAGTGGACAAGATAGGGTCGCCTCACCTCGTTAATGCTCCGCAGGAGAGAAGGTTCATACAGTTTAAGACACCACAGGGCACCAAGCGAGAAACCATGGTTTACTGTACGAAGCAAAACCCCCACACTGTGGTCCAGCGTGTGCATTTTTAGGCATCTTGGAACTCTAGTAAAAAACGTAATGTGACTACCAAGTACAAAGGTCAAGTAAAGCATTGAAACATAATTGTGCCTTAATACAGATTTACTGCGACCAACGTCACACCAAAGTAGTTCTATGTGGGGTTACAAGTAAAAAAGTATAGCCAAGATTAAAGCCTCATAAAACAGCCTGCAAATTTATAAGTTGTGATTACTAGTTTCAGCATATATGCAGGAAGAGCGACCCAAGTATGATTAAGCGAACAGAGATGCTGGCCCAAAAAGAAATAGAGTAAGGAAGTTTCTATAAGTATGGTCGCTCATGACTAATTCGATAAGCACGCGCAATGACACCGACCACTCTTGCAACAACCCAGAGAGTGGAAACAGGTGAGTGGAAAGCTAGCTGTTAAAAAAATATTTAAAAAATGTTGCAAAATATGATATGAGAATAAGAGCGGAGACGACCGCTTAGGTAGAAGGGACAAATGTGTAACAGTCAAGGAGTGCGAATCGAAGACGTCAATCACAAACGTTCTCTGCACCTCGAGCATAGACTAAAGACATTAACAGTAAAAATGCAAACTTTGTATTATCGCTGGGATGCTGTCACGTTGTTTAGTGACAGAGCACGTACTAACAAACTGGCAGGCTCGGTGAAATACAACCAATTAAACAAGCTAACTGGTAACCAGTAGTTTAACGTTTTGAAGTTGGCACTTCAATACGCTTACTTGTTAGCGGCTTAACAAAAGCTATCCAAACATATACATGAAAAATAATGCTGGAGCTCTTTAGATGGTATTCTGGTTAATAATTTTTGCAAGGGAAACACTATTGAGGGTCCGAAATCATCAGTTTCGAGTCTAATTTCATGTATTTTATAGCATATAAAGGTTACACTAAAATTGATTGTAAATAATACTGCTAACACTGCGCGCAATCGAATCCAGAATACCAATAACTCTATCAGAGGATCATGACTGCAGTGCACAGTTGCTAGACAAGTCAATATATGTTAAAACATAATCATTGGCAATAGTTCCGAATGCTTACAAAGTAGCAATTAAGAATCGTAGATACAGTATAACATTTAATATATGAGAAACAAACCTGTCTCTGGTACGGAAGGGTGGTGAACAAGACCGAGATTCTGATGAGTTTCCAGAGGAAACGCATTGGCGCAAAGTTGGGGAGCCGAAATGACGGTAAGACGCCCTATTGCAGTTCCATCTGTTATTCATGCGCCATGGCTCTAGAGATATCGTAAAATAACGCAAAACTTACGAAAACGACTGGTGAATCTCCGTCTGCACTCTGAATGAGGTTGAGCCAATAAAGCCTGGTATTTACGTTTATTTTCAATAACTGTTCCGGATGCTTTAAATAAAACAAAACTGACCCTTTTTACGAGCTTTTCGAATATCTTTAAACCAGTTGATTTCTACTCTATGACCAAATATTCGCTCTCCATCATATCTAAAAGGAAAATGTTATGCAGACACATGTTTCGCACCTGTTAATGAGTTTGCGTGCTACATTATGAGAAGCAAATCTGACAGCAACGAACAGATGCGCATTATCGTCAGAATAGCTGAAGAAATCAATTTTGCATTTGCCGTCCGCCTGCTTTGCGAAAAATTCTCTAATCGGATTAGAACCAACATGGTGACAACCCCACTTGATGCTATCAACATTTATACTTCCGGGTAGCCCACGTATGAAAACGGAGTGCCGACTTGGAAGAACCTTACGGGGATCAATAATAATGATTGCGAAAACCGCATTGTGAGAGTTTGAAAAGAAAACGCGGTGACACCAGATAGGGTCCAAAAGTGTGGTGTGTTTCAAGGTCAAAAACTGTCTACAGCGCTAAACAAATTATGCAAACAAAAACAAATGTAAAATATTGTACGCTGGAGCCACTAACAAGGTTATTCTGTTATTAGTTTTATTTAGTTAACTGCTTGTGTTTGTAATTATTTTCTGTGAATGTCCAGCAGTGTTTAGTCGTGTAATGTACGAGGAAATACGCAATTTCTCTATGTTGTAAACATCGGATTTTATGGTCCACCTGTTTTGCTGACAGCACCTACGTTGCCACAAATTGGTTTGGGTAGTACCTTGGTGCACAGTTTCTACTCTCGTTGATTCGCTTCCTAGTTTTGAAGGCTGCACCATCCACGTTGGGTTAAGTCGCTAAACATCTATACCTCTCCATTAGTTGACAAGTCTCTTATGTGTCATTGAGTACCGACTAGTATTTCAGACGCCACCCAACAATTGGTGATCCCCGTCCAGAATACGCCGTCTGCCTTTAGAATATTCATTCAAGGTTTTTGGAATTATCGGAAAGCTTATTACTAGCTCTACTTCAGCAGACTTAAACCAACTCCGTCGGTAGCTGAATAAGGCGACTAGAAGCAATTCTATCTTCGTACACTGTCTTGGTTGACCAAGAGCTCTCACGCTGCATTGTGAATCGTGTTCTATCGAACACACACAAATCTCTTTGTTTGGCCGGATTTGTGCGTGTGCGCCTGTTGGAACTTGCGCCATAACGTGACACCACGGAGTTGACCTCAGGGATACCTGTGCACGGAGCGGTCGATCACTGCAGACAGTCTACCCTTGGCGGAATTTGGACAATTGAGCACTCCTACATCCGGTTGATTTGTATCATTGGTTACATCTGAAACAGTGGCCTGTTTGTTGACTTGAATAGGTAAATCACTGGACCTTAGCGACCTTTGTTACTCCAGAATTCACGCTTGGCTATAGCATATAATATAGATAGCTTTTATCTTCTCATTTAAAAGATTGATGACTGCCATTAACACTCGTGCAATGAGGAAACAGCGTGTGGAAAACCGAATAATCACGGTAAATAAGGTTGCGGTCACAAGTGTCGAGGAACCTGCGCCCTGCTGCACACATTCCGAGCCTGGGATACAAGAGGTAAATAAGTCCAAAGAACAAATCACAGAAAGTTCAGTTAATGTTGTCGACCTTATATCTTCACTGTCAGCCAAAATAAAGATGTTGGAAAAACAGTTAGAGGAACAAAATGAAAAACTAAAGTTGTATGACTCATTCGGAGATCTCTTAATGTCAGTTTCACGCATAATTCAGTCTCCCGCTAATCCGGCGCATAAGCACAAAATTGGAGCCTTAAACTTCCTAAATGCAATCGCCTCTGAGGTTACTCAAAGACGCAGAAGGGGAAAAACGTCATCGCCCTCAACATAGCTGACAATATCGCGATTGACAACATTACGCGCTCTGTTTCGAGAGCGTGCAACATCGCTGAAACCGATATTACTTGTAGAAGACTAAGAAAAACTTCTTTACTTTTTCCTTGTCCGATTCTGTTCAGCTTCCGTAGCGAGTCTCGCAAATTCGTTTATTAAAATTCAAAATACTTTAAGATCTGTCGCGAAATTTTGCAAAGTTATTCTATTCGTAGACAGATCACCTTTGCAATGTGAGCTTCAACGCATGAGTGAAACTAATGTCGTGCCTGAGCCGAAGCAGAGTCATCCTCCTTGCGCGCTTCTTGGATTGCAAAGAAGGAGATCATTCAAGTGTTTGGTTCTCCCCTTCCAAAAAGTCAGATAATGTAAGCAAGGCCACTCTCCACACGAACGATGCTAAGGCTAGCGACAGCGTAGAGGAAATTGAGATGCACACGCCTCCACACCACATTAGTCTTGTGGACATAGGAAATATTGTAGCTTCACTCGATGCACCACGTTCTGACAAACCAGTAGAGATTGGGATCAATCCACACACCACTACTGAAACAGATACAAGTCCAGAAACATCAAACGGGGCTGTCGATAGCTGCAGTGAAGGTACGTTACGGCCCATTGACGTTATGACTACACATAGCAGCAGTGGTCTTGGTTCGCGCCCTAAGCGTCTTAGATCAAACAGGGGTCTTCGTGCTGGAAAGGTGACCCTCCGTGTCCTAATAACAGTCGTGAATAATAATGCAGCTGCACAGAGTGGCGAGCCACAATTCCCCATTGTTCCGGCGATGTGCCAAGGCTGTTCTCCTGGCAGGCCTGTACATGGCTTTGCTGAATCACAGACCACTTATTTATGCCCCTATTCATACTCTCTTCCGCCTCCTCCTCTCACAATGCCTTCTGTGAGCCCTTCGGCAATTACACCCTATCCAATTAATATCGATCGCCCCAAATTACCACAGTATTCTTTTTGCATTCCTCCACCCATTCCCCCATCCCTCTAATCCCGATATGAATGGCGAATCTCACGGTAAGAGATTTGCTGCGGAAGGCTGTAGAACTGATGTGATTGCAAGAATAAATACTTGACAGAGCGATGAACAATGCCAGGAGTTTTTAAAGCTGATGATAATTAATATCCGTTCTCTGTTGAATAAACTTCCTTCACTCCGCACCTTCATAAGTCTGAATAAACATCATATGATTTTACTCACTGAAACCTGGTGTCAAGATTCTATGCCCAGCCAGCTGCTTTCTATCGATGGTTATAAGCTTATTAGAAGTGATGGAAAACAAGGCAGAGGTGGTTGCATAATTTACTACTTACAGAACCTCCGTGTGTCTGAATTCACACTTCCACTTATATGTCCCACTATGGATTCCGCTCAGTTACTCTTGTCTTTTGGTACTAAGCGAACTCTTGTAGGCTGTATATACCGCTCACCCGGGGCCAGCTTCAGCGATAAGAACCAGTTGGTTGACATCTTCAATCACATATCGCATCTTGGTTCCTTCATAAAGTTGTAGGTGGAGATTTCAATCTACCATATATCTGTTGGTCAAACTTAGTAACAAAAGCGAAACGTCATCACTGGTGGTTGGGAGCAACATGTTCTCGTGGCTACCAGTGAAAAATATATTAGACCTACTTTTGACCTCAGGAGAGGTGGCAAAACTGACCTACCCTCCCACATCGTTATGCCCGAAGGTGATTGCATTGATTCCCCAATTGCCATGGTGGAAGCCTTTAACACATACTTTGCTAGATCCTTTAATGTTGATAAAGAAACCCTAGATTTGTCAACCTCGTTTCACTTCTCTGAACAAGTCCCAGCGATCGAGCTTAGTGTTACTAAGATAAAACGTATGATTACTTGTATACGACTATCCTACAGACCTGGCCCCGATGGGATCGCTTCCGTTTTAATCAAACGCGGTGGAGATGATATCCCAATTACAGTATTAAAGATCTTCTCTTTGTCTCTCCAGTCTGGTCAATACCCCGAAATTTGGAAAGCGGCTACAGTTATACCGCGACATATGTCCGGGTCGAAAACTGACATCCGGAACTACCACCCCATTAGTCACACAGCCATTCTCTCACGCATGCTAGAGAGAATCGTTAAGGAACATTTGGTTTCGTTCCTAATATCGCACAAACTTCTGTCACCTTCACAACATGGCTTTCTGAATTCTCGCTCGTGTGTTACCTGTCAAGTTGTCTTCCTTAAGCATCTAAGAGAAGCAATTGACTCAGGTCTTCAATGAATTGTTATCTTCCCCGACATGCAAAAGGCATTTGACAAAGTCCCACACGAAAAGCTGTTATGTAAATTAAGTAAGTACGGTGTCACAAATCCGCTTAACTCTTGGATCCAATCTTACCTAGTAGGACGGTCGCAAGTTGCGGATATAAATGGTTACATCTCTTCACCTCGTTCGGTTACCTGTGGAGTGGTACAAGGCAGTGTCTTAGGCCCGTTACTCTTCCTACTGTATATAAATGACCTGGTATCTTTTATACAGTTTGGGAAGCCTTATTTGTTTGCTGATGGTTTAAAGGTGGTTTACACCTTCCCAGGCTCTCTGCATACCGCTGAATTTACCAGAATCCAAAGCGACTTGAAAGCCATTGAGAGATGGGCTGATATGTGGCAGATGACATTTGCAACATCGAAGTGTAGTATTCTATCGTATGGATGTCAGATAGCAGCAGAAGTATTCAAGCTTCATGTGGAAGTCATTCCCATCAGCCAGTCTGTTCGTGACTTAGGTTTAAGATATTCTAGTTCGGTAAACTTTAACGAACATAAACATCATATAGTGAAAAAGGCTAAGCAGTCGGTCGGGCTCATATGCCACCTGTTAACCTTGAAAAAAAACCAGACTAATTGCTTTCAATTTAGTATCTGGCCTTTGCTTGAATATAGCTGTGCTGTGTTCAGTAACTTGCGAAAGGCTGACTTGAAAACCATTGAAAACGTCCAACGCGTCTATACGAAGCGCATATTTGGCTGTTCAACCGCTCTTTCATACCGAGGTAGGTGCAAGCAATTGAATCTTAAACCTCTGTGGTTACGAAGAATGCAACTAAATCTGTGCTACCTCCACGAACTCGCGTGGCGGAAAGCATTTATTGAAACCTATCATTTGCACTTTCGTGAAAACACAATTTATGAACTGCGAGATAACGAATGCATATTCTATTTACCTAAATTCAAGAGCAGTCTAAGGAGAAATTTCCATATTCTTAGGTATGGCTCCATTTGGAATAAGCTGCCAAAAGGGATTAGATGTATTGAACATGTATGCATGTTAAAGAAAATTATAAAGGCTTATCTGTCAACGGACAGAGAGAAATGGATCTTAAAAATTCAACTTGATGATGAAAAGCTGTATGAAGAAGGGCCGGATCATGTATGAAACCGGAGAATATCAACTCTACTGCACCAGAGAAAACTTGATCAGCTAGAATGAGCTGCTATAAACCGCTTCTTATACTATTCCTTAACGCTACCTTCCATGCGGTTTTATTC